TAATAATATAGCTTTGAAGTTCTTCAGAATGGCAGCAGATAAATTAATGTATTAGTTTTTAAAGATTTTTCTTTCTTGTACTTTGCATGGATTTCAAGGAACTTGCAGAAATGTTCATATAATTTAGCTAGAGTCTTGCATAGTAAGAAGGAGGGATATGAAAGTGTATGTGAATGTAGCACATCTATACTAACACAGTGAACACACAGTTGGACTTGTATAACACTATATGATTGGACATACATAATATATATAGACCTCAAATAATATTAAGGCTAAATCCAATGCTCTTGGGCCAGAAATGGATGGTGTAGAAGGAAAATGGTTTATTTAAGTTACAGTAGGTAATAACTAACTGAAAAGATATGAAGGAACTTGTAAGAAAGTTAATGAAGTTTAGTGTCAGGAGTAAATATTATCTTAGGAAGATCAAAGGTAGCTAAAGGAATTGGAACAATATAACTGTTGGAAAGTCAGAAGTTTGAGAAAGCAGTAGATGGTGAAGATATTAAGAAGGAGTCAATAGCAAAAAGACAATTCAGGCCAAACTCTAGCTCTGAAAAGAAGTGGAAGAAAACATCAACAGTAAATTCTGCTTTTTAGGTGACAGAGGGCTTTGTTGTGGAATACCCTGTCATTCGAGTTTCTTTTTTTCTGGAAGAGGTTAAGAAGATTAATGATATCTTTCAGTTTGACAGATGGGATCTAGAAGCATATCTTCAATACTTCTGTAATAGTGGTCATTAGTCTCCAATGAAGGAAAATAAAGTCTGTCAAGCTGAATTTGATTCCTGGTGACTGCATAGCCATGGCCATGTAGTTTTCTTAGAAACAATATGGAAAGTCCCGATCAGGTCTGCTTAGCATTTTCAAGAGTAGTGAAGAGTGAGCTCTAATGAAGGACTGTGTGCCAAATCTCAGTAAAGTTTGTTTCATTTTTGAACTGCTTGTACCCATTATAAGTTCTTCCTAATGTTGAAATGAAATGGAGATTATGCCCAAAACATGGAATTCCCATTTAGCAATCATAGTTAATATTTATTGATGGACCTGGTTCACCATATTAAGGTGATGAATTCCATTGTTTAAGCTACAGTTCTGAAGTGCATATATTTATCTGAAGAATAATTCTCATTGAATTCAGAAAGGAGATTCACAGAACATTGCATTTCTAATCATGAATGTGAAGAAATAACTTATTTTGCTCAAAGTCATATGAACAATGTCAAGTGACACAGGTGAAATATGAGAGAAAACAACTAAACTTATGATTTAGATTTTGGACTACAAGCAGGGAGATCCATGCTCTAGTTCGCTCACAGTATGGGAAGTTCTCTGAGTGATTTGTCAGTCATTCTTTCTCAGCCAGTCATCCTTTCTCAGCCTGTGCGAAACAAGCACCACAAATCTCTCTCTCTGGGTTAGTCAGAAGTAGTTTTATTGGAAGCATTTGCAAAGGCTGGTGGGCTTCGTTGCAAATAAGGAGCCACCCCCACATACACACTCCGGCCTAATTATATACATTCCCGATCGCAAGTCCCTCCC